TCCTTATATATTTTGTCCATTCCTAGTAAATTTATGCCAAGTTATTCTATCATTTTGTTGCAATTTTCCATTTTTTATTTAACTTCTTATTGCTAATGTAAGAAATCTACTGATTTTTACACATATATCCTCTGAGCAACTTCTCTTATTAGTTCTGACATTTTTAGCTTGATCTCTTGTATGTTCTAGGTATCTTGTATATAATTCAAATTATAGATTTATAATATCTTTTTCTTCCTTCTTCTCAAGTATGTACTTTTTCTTTCCTATTCTTCCTTTTTGTGCACTGGCTAGAAGCCCCAGAACAATGCAGATATAGTAGTGAAAGTGGGCTGCCCTGTTTGATTCTTGACTTTAATGTAAATGCCTCAAGCTCTTCTCCATCAAATATTTACATCTGACTTTTCTTCATCATGTAAAAGAAGTGTCTATTTCTTTGCTTAGTTTAATGACTTTTTTTTATAAGAGCTATAGTGGATATGAAATTTTTATCAAATGCCTTTGGAGCTGGAATCCAGGTCATCATGTGGATTTTAGCATCCCTACTCTAGTTTCCTAATGACTCATTCTTGTATCCCCAGAATGAACCCTCAGAAGTCATAGTGCATTCTTTTAGTTACTGCTGGAGAGGATTTGTTTTTTCTAGAATTTTCTAGCTCTATGGGCTATAGCTTTCTTTTTTAAATTTTTTATTGTTATGTTAATCACCATACATGACATCATTAGTTTTTGATGTAGTGTTCCATGATTCATTGTTTGTGCATAACACCCAATGCTCCATGCAGAATGTGCCCTCTTTAACACCCATCACCAGGCTAACCCATCCTCCCACCCCCCTCCCCTCTAGAACCCTCAGTTTTTTTTTTTCAGAGTCCATAGTCTCTCATGGTTCGTCTCCCCCTCCGATTTCCCTCCCTTCATTCTTCCCCTCCTGCTATCTTCTTCTTTTTTTTTCCCTTAACATAATTTGCATTATTTGTTTCAGAGGTACAAGTCTGTGATTCAACAGTCTTACACAATTCACAGTGCTCACCATAGCACATACCCTCCCCAATGTCTATCACCCAACCACCCCGTCCCTCCCACCCACCCCCACTCCAACAACCCTCAGTTTGTTTCCTGAGATTAAGAATTCCTCATATCAGTGAGGTCCTATGATACATGTCTTTCTCTGATTGACTTATTTCGCTCAGCATAACACCCTCCAGTTCCATCCACGTCGTTGCAAATGGCCATAGCTTTCTATTTTTAGACGATTTTTCTGTAACACTGTTAAGTCAGCCTCAAAAAAAAAAAAAAGGTGGAACTTTCCATTTTTTCCTAAACTCTAGAACAGTTTAAATATTTTAAAAAGTGTCTTTCCTTACAGATTTGAGGAAATTTACATGTAAATTTATAGTGTCTTGGAGAATGGGTTGTCCTTAGGCAATGTTTTCTTTGATACTTCAAGTCCATCCTGGTCATTTATATTTTCCTAGAATATACTCCTTTTCATCAAGATATTTAAAATTCTTACCACTAATTTGTATCCTGAATTTGTTTTTTCTCTTCTCTTTCTGTAGTTATATTTCTTTTCTCAAGACCCCTAATGTTACATATTTGTATGAATTCTCTCTCCTGTTTCCCCGACTGGATTTGCCAAATTTGGGTCTACCTACTTATTGCATTTTCAAATATATTCTTGGTTTTGTTCATTGATTCTATTTTGGGGAGGGTGCTAAATCGTTAATTCCTGAGTGTGGGGTATATGTGTGTGTGTGTGTGTGCGTGTGTGTGTGTTTGTGTGTATATGTTTTTGTGCGGGGTTTTTTGCCTTGTAGTCTCCCTATCTGGTATTAACTGCCATTGCTTTGGTTTGCCTTTCCCTGATACAGCTTCTCTCACCTATTTAAAAATTTCCCATCTATTTCATTTTAAATAGGAAAATTTAAGTTAGCCTTTTTAAAATTTAAAATTCCTGTATTCTCAACAATTATCTCTTTTGGTTTTAGGTGTGTGTCCTGTAAACACACAGATGAATTCTGTCTACACAACTTGAGAAGTTTATTCATTCAGCTTTATTCTAATATGTAAAAGACTATCCCTATGTCTGTCTGCCTTCTTGTTTTCTGGGTTGTTTTTTGCTTAAGTTAGTTTCATGCTGTTTATTTGTATATTTCCCATTCCCTTTTTCTTGGAAGTTCTATATTCAATTTCTGATCTGGAAATATGTATACATTTTAAATTTATTTTAATCCATTATTTCTCTACCAACGTCAAAAACCAAAGTATCTAGAACATTCTCCCACACCAAGATTTCAGCATGCTTTCAGTTCCTTTCTCTTACCGCTTAGATTCTATGGACTTCTCTTGGCCCTTCCATGAAGCCTGTTCCTAAAAACTGCTAAGCTCCAAATTCCATGTGATGGTTAGCTAGGTATTTCTTAGTATAGCAACCCAAAACTAACTTAGAAGCCTTTTGTATATGTGGAACAAGATTTTACCCACTTGAGGGAATTAGAAAGTATTTAGGAATATTAAGCATGTAGGTAATTTCAAGAACATAACCTGGACCCTCAGGTGAGGCCAAGTGGCATGAGCATACACCCGGCTGTTCCCCCCCCGCACGCCAAACGTGCAGAGCCCCAGCAGTGTGGGGCTGTGGGCGCCGGGCAGGGCTGATACACCAAGAAGTTATTAACTTGTGGGGAACCCTACATGGGGAGTTACCCACACACCTCCCTGCCTGGCTGTTCCCATCACAGACCACGTGTACAGTTCCATTATTCATGGCCTTTCTCCATTATGGGGCATTCAGTGTTTCCTTCCCACTTGGCTTTGATTATTTTAGAATTATTAAAACAGGGTATAAACACTTTTAGTTTTAAAAAGACTCCTTTGGGTGCCTGGGTGGCTCAGTCACTTAAGTGTCTGACTCTTGATTTCTGCTCAGGTCATGATCTTAGGGTCATGGGATTGAGCCCCACATCTGGCTTGGTGCTCAGCACGGAGTCTGCTTGCCCCTCTCCCTCTGCTCCTCTTCCTGCTGTGTTCTCTCTCTCTCTTGCAAATAAATAAAATCTTAACAAAAAGAGAGAGAGAGAGACTCCTTAACTACCCAAATGCCAATCTAAAATGTACCTAATTCAAATCCTAATCCATTTGGCCTTCTGGCACCTTCTCCCTCCAGATGGTTCTCTTCTGAGACTCTCTAAGCCCTAAGTCTTATCCTTAAAAAAATCTAGCCCCTCCTGGCTTCTGTGACATGACTCTCCTGGTTTTTCCTCATCTTCCTCACCCACCCCTTAGGTATTAACGTTTCTCAGGATCCTGTCTGTGTCTGCTATTCTTTTCCATCCATAGGGCCTCCCCAGCCCCTCTCAGCAATTCCTAAGACTTCAAACACCACCCGGGCTGCAAACCCAGGCCCTGCCTAGACCTCTCTCAAGCACAAACCATCCCCTGATAGCGAACTCCCACCAGGTGTTCTGCAGGGGAAAATCCATACAAGATGAAGGATTCGGGGAGAAGCATTCTTGAAAGTGAAGATGACCCCAAAGTTAAACTGCCAAGGGCAAAGACCTCATTTTATTTACAACCAGTTGATACTAAAGCTGGACCCAAAGCTCTCCACAGAGCTGAGTATCTGGGGAAATTTGTCCATGGAGAATCTGTCCAGCCACAACTCATTATGCTGAACTCCACCACACCTGGCCACTAACTCACACCTGCCTGTGTTTTCCAGCTCAGCAAATACACTGCATTGTCACCCACTCCCTCTTCTGGGATTCCTTCCTTTCCTTCACCCTCCACCCACCCTGTGACCTGGGGGGCCCAGCCAAATCACCAGGAAGAATATGCTCATGCACACATTTCCTCCACCAAAATCTCTTCGGAGACAAGTCTCTGTAATTTTTTTAGAAATTCCATAATGTTATTCTAAAGAGACAAAATCACCCATCCACGTCGAGCCTGTCAATTCCAGGCCTTCAATCCTCTAAATCCACTTCACATTCTCCAGTCCAAAATCAGTCTTGGCCCAGGCCTGGTCATTTCTCCTCTGGGTTAGGTGACAGCACCCCACCTCACTTCCCTGTCTTTGGACTTGCCCCCCTCCCCACCTCCAGCCTTCTAAACTCCTTGGTGCCACCAGAGGGATCCAGAATCCAAACTGTGGTTCAGGCTCCTCCCTTGCTGACACCCCTCAATGACTCTCTTACTCCCTCTGGGATCAATCACAACTCCTTCAGATGGCATTTAAGAGCCACCACGACCTGCTTCTCTGTAATCTTGTTTCTTCCAGGATCCCTCTCCCATTCTCCATGCCAGCCATTCACTATCCCCCAAAGACTCCATGTTTTCTCCCAACTCCAGAGCACACTGCTTCGTGTCTTTATGACCTACTTCTCTGTGGCCTTCAAGATTCAGCTCGAGGGTCACCTCCCCCACCTCAGATGCTCAAGGATACAGTAAGTGCCCCTCAAGGCAATGCTCAAAACCTCACTGTGAACCACAGCACATAGAATCGCCTCTCTTCTCTTCTCCTCTCTTCCAACAGACCGTGTGCTGCTTAAGGGCGGAAGCTCTATTTTCCTCTTATCTATATCATCAGAGCCTAAACAATAAGTGTCTATTGGGTGAATTTGGTTTCCATCTTTCACTAAACAAAGACATATATAAGCACTGGTAAAATAGAAAATGTTATCACGATAATGGATAAAACTCAAATAATGACCCTGGCTAGTCTATTTTCTTTACACTTGAAGGAAATCCGAAAATAGCAATTATTCTCTCTCACGTTCTGTAAAGACTATGGAATGACTATAGCTGCCAAAGGCACCAAGGTCCCCGAGAACAGGGCCAGGTTTCAAGTGATCCTCTATGCCAAAGTGGGGTCCTAATGAGTGGTCATTAAACAAATTTCAGATTCAACTGTAGAAACATAAATACCAAGTCTTTCTCTAAGAAACTCATTCTTTCTTCTTTTCTCCCCATCTGTATTTTTATGTACTGTTACCCACCTTGTTGACTGTACTCCCAGCCAAACTTCCTGGCGTCACTTAATGCCTGCCCCAAAAGGGCAGCTTGATGCATCAGTTTCTTAGGAACACAGCCAACATTTACACAAGTCCCGCCAAGACCTGAGAAGGAAGAGAATAGGTTGAATGTTCCCTCCATGTCTGTGGGCGTGCACTCTGTGTCTGTGGGTGTGCGCTCCGTGTCTGTGGGCGTGCGTTCCGTGTCTGTGGGCGTGCACATGGTTCTCCGTGTCTGTGGGCGTGACTCCGTGTCTGTGGGCATGCACATGGTTCTCCGTGTCTGTGGGTGTATACTCCGTGTCTGTGGACGTACACTCCATGTCTGTGGGCATGCACATGGTTCTACGCACATGCAGAGCAGGTGTTGTTAAACCTGTGGAAATGTCACACTCAGATGGTTGTGGGGCCAACAGCAGACCCCACAATAACATGCAAATGGTTAAGCCAAACTTTTCAAATGAGGGTCTGTGAAGAAGACCCAAAGATGAGCAAAAATACAGATGTACACTTGAATAGTTTTCTGGGGAGAGAATCCAAAATTTTCATTTGAGTCTGATCCATAAAGGGATCAGAACTATATTAATCAGATAGATACCAGACCAAGGGCCAGAACCCCAGCTTCTAGCCTTTATTCTCTGTAAGTCTGACTCCTCCTCTGAGCCGATATTAGGTCCACTGCAAGCTGCCTGGTAACATCTACTCTCAATCTCGAGCAGTGCAAAAAGGCCATGTGCGATGCCCCCGTGCTGGGCATGAGTCAGGAAACTCCCTCTCTGAACACAGTCTCTCTTCTGGTAATCCAGAGAAGTAGGGTATTTCTAGACAGGACACAAAGAAGGGACAGGGCAGGAGGAGAGAGGGAGAAAACAAAGACAGGTACACACAGGAATTTTTTAACATACAAATGTTAGAAGGAAAATCAAGATAGTATGAAATTCTACGGTAAAATTTTTCAATAAATTTAAATTTTAAAACATGATTTTCCTATTTTGTCAGGGTTCCAGCAGAAAACAGATGACACCCTCAAGCTGGGAAACTGAGGAGAGTTTATAAAGAAATGATTACAGGGGTGTGGGCAGGAAGAGCGAGGAGGAGCAGAATAGTGAGTGGGTCATCGCCAACCCCATGTGATGGCAAAGCACATTGAGTGAGTTGCAGCCCACGGGGGGCTGGCCATGACAGGGGAGGTGGCCTTCCATGCCTGCAGGGATCAGCAGGGCAGGAGCTGGGGGAATGAACACCCCCAACTCCACTCTCCTCCCTCCTGTTCTCCGATGACCACTAACTGGTCGAGCCCAACTGGAAGCCAGAGGGCAACGTTGCCAATGCATTAGCTTTCTGGGGCATGGAAAAAGGTAGAGACATGAAGAATGGATCTGATCCATAAGCAGAAAATATCCAACACGAAATCTGCATGTTCTATTAAAGTGAACGCTCATCTACAACTGGAAGCTCACTGTGCACTTTGCTGATGGGACCTGGATGATAGCATACACACTAACTTGACTGAGCATCATGCAGCCATTAGAGTGAGCGATGAAACTGATGCCAAAACACAAGACAAGGTCATAGCAGACTTAGGTGAGCACCACACAGTATACACTGTGATTGCAACCAAAGGAAAAACATTGATGCACGTGTGCAAGAATTATTATGGCACAAGTGTTGGAATACTGGAGTCATTGAATTTTTTCTTTTTGCAAAATCATTACTTTTATATTACCTTTCCGAATCACCACTTGTTAACTATGCGATTTTAGGTCAGTTACTTAACCTGACAGAGACTTGCTTTCCTCATCTATGAAACAGGCTAGTTATACAACTTGAGACTGTTGTGAGGATTAACAAGATTGAAGAAAGACAAAGCCGGCTGTAAAGAGCAGAAAACTACAAGAGTCACAATAAAAAAATACTGCTTACCCCAGGACGTGCCCTGAGGTGACGGGACCACAAAGTCTAGCACCATAACTTTCTTTCCCAAGATGGCGGCTTCCTACAAAAAAAAAAGCTACATATAAAGATCTTGTCATTTTCCTGACAACCCCCCAGTTTTTCTCTCCCTGAAAGGAAAAGAATGTGGAAGAACACAGTCCCTTCTCTTTATTAATTTAGTAAAAGCCCTGGACTGTAAATTGGCTTTTTTAAAGTAGCTGAAGAAGTGCTTACGGCAATCACCAGGAAAATTATCTCTGGGTTTCATTATTTTCATACCTGCGCACATGCAAGGCCACCAGAACCTCCCCCAATGACAATGAGGTCATATTCGAATGCTGCATCTTCCTGAAGGAGCTTCTGTAATAAGCCACACTGATGGGCCTACGGATCAAAGGAGAGAGGAGGCATGACCTGTCTTAAATCTGTTCCTTTGTACCCTATGTTGAATCAGCATGGATTGCTTTTCTAAAACTCTTAGAAACAGTCCCTAATTCATCTAAGTTCAAATTTTAAATTTATCTAGATGGTATTCAAATAGGGTCCCACTAGATAGAACTTATGCTAAGTACGTACATTTTTGTTCATTATCACCTGATGGCTACACGTGTGTCAAATGACCCATAGGTCACAGCTTTATGTCAGGTGAGGTCATTTTCCTTGGTCTAATCATCAAAGTATTATAATTAAGTAAAATAGCCACGTACCATTTCTCAAGATCCTCTATCTTTTATTCACCGGTGCTAGGCTTTATTCTGAAAACAATTCTTAAGCACCATCAGCAGGACATGCACATCAAATTTTTACATGGTTTCTCATAAATTGACCTAAATTTTGCAGCATCCTGGTAAACTTCCTATACAACAAAAAATTTTGCTTTTTCTTTCAGCAATGGTCATAAGGCTAGCTCTGCATGATAGTTTCCTGCTCACTTGACCCTCCCTTCTGATCAGAAGTAGCTTAGGCAAGTTGAGACAATCAATGCATGATGTAGCAATAGTTTTATGTGAAGGTGGGTGCTCCATCCCATGAAGCTGGCTTTAGAAACACCATGTGGCACCAGTTCATCCTGGGAAACACAGTGGAAGCACTCTATCACTGTAGGACTCAGCACATGGCACATGGGCCCCAGATGGATGAGTGCCCATGGAGGCTTTTGGCACATTCTAAAAAGGATTCCTTTGGCCTCCTTACTATTAGGTGCCCTAAGGAAAATACATCTCCTAAGTATGAAATGGAATTGATAACTCTGCATCTCCAGACTCATCCTCTGACATCTTTTCCAGGTTAGGAATGGTAAGACCAGCACTTCCCGAGGTGTTTCTCGGGGCCTCTCATTATGCTCCATACCACCACGTGAGCTGAGGTGGAGCTTCTGGGACTAACGCAGGCTATTAATAGATAACAATGCTGATCATAAATTAACATAAATCTGGACAATCTAGTTTCCCAAGAAAATGTAATTTTAAGTTAAAGTGTCAAATATAAGTATTTAATCACTGATTACTACCATTTACATACATACATAAAAAAATACAAAGAAACACAATTTTAATAAAAGGAAGTAGTTATAAAACAAGGACCTAAGAACATCAATTTTATCTATCACCACTTTCAAGATTATCTGATAACCAGCCTCTATGCTTTTCCACTTTACAACTTCCAAAAGACAAGTGAATAGACTCCTTTTTTTTTTAAGATTTTATTTATTTATTAGACAGAGAGACAGCAAGGGAGCATACAAGCAGGGGGAGCAGCAGGTAGAGGGAGAGGGAGAAGCAGGCTCCCCACTGAGCAGGGAGCCAGAGGCAGGGCTCAGTCACAAGACCCTGGGATCATGACCTGAGGTGCAGGCAGATGCTTAACCGACTGAACCCCATGAATAGACTCCTTTTTAAAAGCCATTTTCTCCCCTTTTAGATAGATTCAAAACCAAACTTTGAATAGCATTAAAAACATATAATACCATTATTACCTGGAAAGTTCGATCGCATCCACCCATATGCACTTTATTCACAAAAATATTGGGCACGGTTTTCTGATTAGTAATCTCTGACAGCACTTCTTGGACATTGGCCCCATCATCTGAAGAATAAAAACTTAAATATATAAGAACACTGAAAGGGTTCCAAACTTCTGGGAGTTGAACAGAAGTGTTACAACACCAGACGCTCACATGCACGCACCCATAAAACGTCAGTACTTACATATTTACATATTACATAACTTCATGAAATGATGACTCAGGAAGGGGAAACACCTGTTTTCAAAGGAAACCTTAAAGAATAAAGACAAACCTACAAATTCATTTAAAACGAACCCTTCTAAATTAGATTTTGATCTATCATTCAATGGCCTTGCTGGGACAAATAAATAAAAATTCTCTTTAAAGAGCAAATATCAGGATAAAACCTGCTTCCACTGTCATAACTCAGAAAATGCTTCCTACAATTACATTTGAAAAATCTTTATGATCCATGGTCCAAAATGTCTCCTCCACCCTTAAAAATAAAATAGGGCCACAACTACTTATGACTGCCCTATGTGGTATACATTGTAGAAAAGTCTCAAAGATTCAAAAACATTTCATTTGTTAGGGAGACATGGCTAAAAGGAGTTGGTGAAGTCTGGTGAAGGCAGAAATCAAACTCTTTTCTGTTTACCACCCTGTTTCCCACCCTTGCAGATCACAAGCGTGGGTAAAACTCTTGGTTAATATTAGATGGATGGATGCATGCATGACAAGAATTAAAAATATAAAGCTGAAAAATTAATGTGTTTCTTTCATGTATAATAAAGTCAGGAAATAAGGGTAGTTTCTTTTCATTTATTACAGCTTAATCTATTTTGCCAGAAAGTTGGCAGATACATATTAAATGCCGGAAATACTCCATCCTTAGCAATTTATACATCTTCTTCCTGCTCCCTTCCCTCAAATATGAAAAGTATATAAATAAAAAAAATCTACACCAAATTATTTGCCATGTAGAGTTCTATTTTCTGTACGGTTGAATGTAGACAATAACAGCTCACCTAACCCAAAGAGACAAGAGAAAATTGAATTGAACAAAGCAAATGGGAAGTAGTCAATCTTGTTGACATCTATTACAAACAAAAGTATACACTACCCCTTCTACTTACCAACTCGATCAAGTTCCAAGATATTACATTCAACTCCCAAAGAAGAAAACAGTTCTTTAACCTGGAACAAAAATTTACTGGAGTTTTACTCTCATAAGGATTCAAAAGAGTTATGAAATATGGACACAAATGTGTCCAAAGAAAATGTTCAGTTCTCTAAATTGCAGCCAAAGTAGTATTTTAAAGCCCACTTTTCACCATTACTTAACAACTTTCGGTGCCCTCAGCCCTCAAGATAAAGTCCAGATGTTTTGCTTCCAAGATGGAGACACTGGGAGCTTGGCAGACCTGCTCCCTGGTGAAACACCTACAATTGGTGAAAATTATTAAAACAAAACAAAACAAAAAAACCCAAAAAACAAACAAAGTCTCTGGGGATTGTCCAAAGGGCACACACCAAATGAAACATTTAGTCAAAAGATCTGGTAGATGTCAATCAAGAACAGGCAGAGTCAGTTCCTGTTCTTCCCTCCCCTGCCCTAGAAGCTCCACTTCAAGTGAGTGTGGACAAGACTGAAATCGCTGTCACCAGAAGGGGCAGGCCACCAGCATTTCCTAGTCTTCTCATAGCTCTGAGTGGCAAAGGCTACCTTCCTGGCGAGCGTGGCTAACAACACAGGGACTCCTTTCCTCCCTTCCTCCACACAGCCCCCACTCAGATAGCAAAGGCTCTACCCCATGCTGAAACTATTGTAGAGCAAGGTTTCAGGCTGGAGAGGTAAGCCAAGAAGACCAGAGGTTACGGTCCCCACCCAGAGCCCTGCTCATAAAGTAGGGCTGTCACTCTGAGAGAATCAGGTCACTGTCCTCCTACCCCTAGCTCTGAAGCAAGGTCTCAGAGATTTTGCTCAAGGGAAGAGGTAAACCATAAGATCACAGAGCTCCAAAGCTCTATCCAAAAGAAATGACTTTATTTCAAATAGACCGTGTGGAAGGGCAAATCTAAGGGCAATGGAGATTTTGGTGGTAAGCAACAAAGAGAAGGCTGGTGGCTTCATTACAGTAACAGGCTAAGCTGCAAGCCAGCAAATTTACCAGAGAAAACTGGGATAGAGATCACTAAGAACAGTCCCTCTAGGGTCAGAATAAGCCACAAACAAACCTCAAAAACTACCCCTGAACGGAGCCCAGATTTAACTGGACCAGAGTGTGGAACAATTTATATCCCAGGACATGGTCAAAAACAACAGAGCAACTAGCCTGCAATTAGGGGGGCCTAACATCTGGGTATGATATCGACGGAGACAGAAAACATAACACAAAACAGGTGATAGGGATTAAGGAGGGCACTTGTTGGGATGAGCACCGGGTGTTGTATGGAATTGCTGAATCACTACACTGTACACCTGAAACTAAGAAACACTGTATGTTAACTGGAGTTCAAATGAAAACTTAATTTAAAAAAAGAAAAGAAAAAGAAAAACATTACACAGACAGTCACCTAGAGCCCTGCTAAAATCTCTGTCATTCCAGGGTGACTGTGCACACATCCAAGAGGGCACACTCAGAAGTGACATCAGAGGCTCCATCTTTTGGTGGAAATAAACTTCCCTTAATTAATCCTGCCAACTTACTATAGAGAAATAAACAAACAAAACAAGTCACAAAAAGGGATGAGTCAGTACCTGGAGTTGCTACAATATCCCACCTGAAATGTCCAGGTTCCAACCAAAAACACTACAAGGCATTCAAAGAAACCAGAAAGTGGATCTATAAACAGGAAGAAAAGCAGGCAAGAGAAACAGCCTCTGAAAAGGCCCAGATGTCATACTGAATACACAAAGTAGCCTTTACAAATATGTTCAAAGAATTAAATAAAATTATGCTTAAGGAGATGAAGAAAGGTAATAGAAAGTATTTTTAAAAATTAAATGGAAAGTAAAGAGTTGGAAAGCACAATAAAATGAAAAGTTCACTAGAGTGCTTCAACAATAGATTTAAACTGGCAGAAGAAAAAATTAGCATACTTGAGGAGAGATCAATGGAGACTGTGCAACCTGATGCCACAGAGAAAGAAGATTGAGGAAAAATGGATGTCTCAGAGAAACATGAGACACTACTAAGCACACACATACACAGTGTGAATAGGAGATAAAGGAAAGAGAATAAAGGAGTACAAACTTTTTTGAAGAAATGTCCAAAACGTCCCAAATTTGATGAAAAGTAGTAATCTACATATCCAAGAAGCTCAACAATCTCCAAGTAAGATAACTTAATAGGAGCTCTGGAAACTGGTCAAAGATCTACAACAATGAAGCATATGTCCAATGAAGAAAATGCCACATTTAAAATGGTAGAAAATTCTGTGGCATTCTTAATGGCCCTTACCTCACCCACTCCTTGATGCTCCAAGGCACAGTAAGAGATGAGCAGCAGTCTGGACCCCAGTTCCCTTCCACAAAATGGAGAGAGCAGAGAGACCAAATTTGCAATGTTCTAAACTCAGGGCTGCCTAAGGGATTTGTCTCTATGATGTCTAACACAGACTATACAGATAGTCAAAAGTGGCTGGGATCTTAGGCTAAAGGAAGCCATGAGAAGCAGTGGTCATGGCTCGTGAAAACTGAAAATGGACTTCATATCCCAGGACATGGTAGACACCTGGGGGCAAGAAATTACAGGCAGAAGAATACAACAGAACAACTAAGGTCCCAGGAAGAAGGAGGGGGAAGTTTCTTACACACTTTAAAACAGCCCTGTATACAGGAAAACCGAGCCCATGTGTGAAAAGCACATACAAGCCCAGGGAAGACAAATGCCCAGAAAAGGCCTAAGAAGACCTTAAACCTTCATTCTACACCGATTAGTGAAGTTCTTCCCAAGCAGGAAGCCAGTCTGCAAAGACTATGAGAGGTAGCTGTTTTATATGCTGAATTTTCAACAAAAGATCATACGCATACAAAGAAACAAAAGAACATGGCCCATTCAAAGGAAAAAATAAATCTCCAAAAACATCCTGAACAAATACAGCCTTCAGATTTACTAGACGAAGACTTTAAAACAACTATTTTTAAATACACTCAAAGAGGAAAATACAAAGAGCTAACAGAAATCAGTAAAATGATATGGAAACAAAATAAGATTATTAACAAAAAGACAGAAAGAACCACATAGGAACTCTAAAACTGAAAAATACAATAACTGAATTGAAAAATTCACTAGAGTGGTTGAACGGAAGAAAAACTGCCAACAGGCAGAAAAAAGAATCAGTGAATTTGAAATTATTGAGTCTGAGGCACAAAAATAAAAAAGAATGAAGAAAAATGAACACAGAATAGCAGATTTGAGGGACATCATAAAATAAAACAATATATACATTATGGGAGTTCAAGAAGAAAGGATCATAAAGCTTATTTGAAGAAATCATGACAAAAACTCCCCAAATTTGAGGAAAGATGTGGATATACAAACACAAGAAGCTCAAAAACCTCCAAGGAAAAGCCCAAAGAGACCTATACCCAGACACATTGTAATCAAACTGCTGAAAAACAAAAACAAGGAGATAATATTGAAAGCAGCAAGAAAAAAGGAACTTATCAAGTACAAGGAATCCTCCTAAGATTATCCATGGATTTTTCAGTCAAAACCTTGCAGTCCAGAGACAAAGGGATGAAATATTTAAAGTATTAAAAGAAAAACACTATCGGGACACTTGGGTGGCTCAGTCAGTTAAGCATCTGCCTTCAGCTCAGGCCACGATCCCAGAGTCCTGGGATTGAGCCCCACATCTGCTTCTCCCTCTCCCTCTGCCACACCCCCAGCTTGTGTGCGCTCTCTCTCACTCAAATAAATAAAATCTTTAAAAAAAAAAAAGAAAAGAAAAAAACTATCAACCAAGAATTCTATATCTGGCAAAAGAAAAAAACAAAACAAAACAAAAAACCCAAAACAAACAAAAAACAGTCCTTCAGATATGAGGGAGAAATTAAGACTTTTCCAGACAAACAAAAGTTGAGGGAGTATTAATACTAGACCTGCCCTACAAGAAATGCTATTGGCAGTTCTTCAAGTTGAAATGAAAAAATGCTATTCAGGAATTCAAAGCCATATGAAAATGCAAAGTTCTTCAGTAAAAGTAAATATATGGATAAACATATAAAGAAGTATTATCATAATTTTAGTTCATAATCACATTTTCTTACTCTTCTATAAGATTTTAAAAAACAATAGCAAAAAAATAACTACCAATCTATGATAATGGGTACACAACAAAGAAAGCTGTAATCCGTGAGAATGATAACGTAAAAAGAGGGAGAATATAAAGAAGCAGAATTTTTGTGTGGGATGGAAGTTAAATTGTTATCAGTTTGAAACAAATAATACCTTTAGGATGTTATACGTAATCCCCATGGTAAACACAAAAATATTTAGTAAATATACACAAAAGGACAGGGGAAGGATCACTAAAAAAATAAACACAAAAGAAGACTGTAAGAAAGAAAATGATGGACAAAAAAAACTATGATACCCACAAAACAAATAAAATGGCAAAAGTATTTCCCTTGGGCGCCTGGGTGGCTTAGTCAGTTGAGGGTCTGCCTTCGGCTCAGGTCATGATCCCAGGGTCTTGGGATTGAGCCCCACACGGGGCTCCCTGCTCAGCGGGGAGTCTGCTTCTTCCTGTGCCCCCCCACAAAAATAAATGAATACAATCTTTAAAAAAAAGTCCTTCCCTAACAATAATTACTTTAAATATAAATGGATTAAACTCTCCAATCAAAAGACACAGACTGGCAGAATGGATAAAAGCACAGGATCATGCTGTCTAGAAGAGACTCATTTTAGACCTAAGGATGCACAGCAACTGAAAGTCAGAGGATGGAAAAAGATATTCCATGTTTACAGTAAAGAAAAGAGAGAAGGCATGGCTCTACTGATAAAGGGCAAACTTTATATCAAAACTGTTATGAGACTAAAAAGGATATTATGTAATGATAAAAGAATTATACAATATACAATCATAAAAATATATCCACCAACATCTAAGCTTCAAATATAGGGTGCAAACACTAAACAAATAGAAGATAGAAATGGACCGAATTACAATTATAATAAGAGACT